CACAGCATCTTGAGTATGAGTTCTACCAATTTTTATAATATGTTTCCATGCATTAACTTTTTCATTTAATGCATTATATAATTTTTCCAAACCAGGAAGAAGAACTCTATTAATTTCTAAAGCAAGTGCCACTTGCATAACAGTTGGAAATGAATCATTAGTACTTTGAGATTTATTTACATGATCATTTGGATGAACAGGTGTTTTTGATCCCAATTTACCACCAAGTAATTCAATTGCACGATTTGAAATTACCTACATAAAATTAATAAAATAATTACAAATATATTCAAATTATTTAATAATGTTTGCTGTTAAAACAATAAATACCTCATTAACATTCATATTTGTTTGAGTTCCTGAAATTAAATTATACTATATCTTGTTAATATATCTATATTAATATTGATAAATATGTACATTTAATAGAAAATATACAGTACCGGAACCTGTTTGCCAAATTACTAATGGAAAATGTTCATTATAAAGATCTCCACATATAACATCATCTGCAGCTTGACTTATAGCATCTGCTACTTTAGCATCCATTCCAAGTTCTTTATTTGTTTCAGCTGCAGCTTTTTTTAATATACCATATGCAACAATAACACCATACTAAACAAATGTAAGATATGAATTAAGAATGTTACATATAATAACTTTATCTTAAAATTTTTTTAAATAATAAAATTTTATTTATTTAGATTGAAATAAAAGCAATTTTAAGTTTTCTTACAGGCATGCGTTCAAAGCTATCACCTATTGGAAAATTTTGCATTGATCGCACTGTTTGGGCTCCATAATATTTATTAATAGGCACCTTCACTTCACCAAAAGTATCCTTCTCAATTCGAAATTCACCATCTGATTCCTTAAATTATAATTAAAATTTATTACAATAATATAAATAAAATTTATTTATTTATTTATTATTTATTATTTATTGAAAGAAAAAATTATGAATATATATACCATATTAAGATTAATTTATATAAGAGAACTGAATGAATATAGCTTCAAAATATTTCAATAGAGTAAGTTGAGGAATTCAAG